ATCATATAAGTCAAGATAATTTGAGATATCATCTGAAAATAACATAATTTTAATCATGAAAATACTTTCATATTTAGGTTTCATGAAACAACATTGAAAACATGGAATTCATAAGTGAAACAATGCAATTTAGGTGTAATCATGAGGAAAGCTGATTTGCATTTAAAACTCATGATGAAGAAAGAAAATTCTGTCTATTAGGAATCATAAACTTGAGATTCTGAGGTTTCTTTGGGACTTAAGAGGGGCAAAGGGATAGCCTTTGATGAAAATTGTACATTCTTAGAGTAGAAACTTTGGCTTGATTCTTAAATGAAGACATGAAGATTGGAACCCTAGTTCTTGCTTGAGAGGAGATTGGAGAGAGAAAAATTGAATTAGAGGAAATTATGAGGGAATGGGAGTCTTAGACTGATAAAATCTCCCTAATTCCACTTAGAATAGGTCAAAATGACATAATATAGAAATTTAAAAGTGTGAAAAAATACTCAATTAATCCCGACTTAAAATTGACAGAGTTGTCTACGAACGTTTTCCACAAACAATACACAACTTCAGCGTCCGTGAAAGTAGAGGAGATCTGAGTCTTGAGGGTCTTCTTCTACAGATCCCTCTATGAGTTGTATACCCATCCATGAACTATACAAGTGCACGTGAAAGACACAAGGGGTTTGTTTGATAGATGATTCCACGGTCCGATCCGTGAAACCTTCTTAAAAACTTTTGAGGTCAGTGGTGCACAAAAAATTTAGTAAGCATTATCTTTTTAAAATGAAAAAATATATAAACAATATAACATAATATATTAGATATAAAAAAAACTTTCTATGAATTTCTTTTTTTAATAAAATGTAATCAAAATAATACCAAGTGAGAAAGAAGGCAAATGAAAAGAACATAAAAAATGAGTCCAAACAAATTTGAACCCGCGACTTCACTCGCAAATTTCACGCCAAAAAAAGGTTCTGCTACCACAACTTTGATTCAAGGAGTGTCACATTTATAATATATAAGTTACTCTCTCCGTTTCAAAAAAATTAGCCTAGTTTGGTTGGAATTGAGTTTAAGAAAAGAAAAAAAACTTTTAATCTTGTGGTTTTAATTTAAAATTATGTCAAATATACTAAAACATCTTTTAATTTTATGTTCTTAAGCATGTCACGTGAAAAGTTAATGTTAAAATATTGCCAAAAAAGGAAATAAATCATTCAACTAAAAAGGAAATATTATCTTCTTTTTTTTAAGGAAGGGAGTATTTATTTTTCCCTTTGTGACAAAACAGTGTCACGTGCACCCATGCCCTTGCTAAATCCGCTCCTGTTTTGGGCGTCACAGTATATCTAAAATTTGAAAATCATGAAGGAAATTTTGGCTTTAAATATAATCAAGTACAAAAGTTCAATGCGTCTGCCTACAAGTCAAGTCCAGAAACAAGATATAAAACACGTGCACTAAGCATATTCTGAGTTTGACTATTTCCAATTCTCATTTCTCAATCCAAGAAAAAAATTAAAGAAAAAATTATTTTATATAGGAGCACCCAAATCCATACCATAAAATGCGGATCTCCAGATTTACAATTTTGATGTTGATGGTTTGACTTTGTATTTCTCTCCTTGATTAGGGAATGGTGAATGATATTAAGAAAAACCCAAAATTAACTTTATTACCTCTTATTGCTCTCATTTTCTATGATGTTTCAGGTGGACCTTTTGGTATTGAAGATTCAGTTAAAGCTGGTGGTGGCCCTTTATTATCTTTACTTGGTTTCTTGATTTTCCCTTTATTTTGGAGCATACCTGAAGCTCTAATCACAGCTGAATTATCCACAAGTTTCCCTCAAAATGGTGGTTATGTCATATGGATATCATCAGCTTTTGGCCCTTTTTGGGGTTTTCAACAAGGGTTTTGGAAATGGTTTAGTGGTGTTATGGATACTACTCTATATCCATTACTCTTCCTTGATTACTTGAAGCATTCTTTACCCATATTTACTCATTTAATTGCTAGAATCCCTGCTTTGTTAACAATTACAGTTTCATTAACCTATTTGAATTATAGAGGACTGCATATTGTTGGTTTTTCCTCTGTTTTACTTGCAAGCTTTTCGCTTTTACCCTTTTTAGTAATGGGGATTCTATCGATTCCTAGGATTAATACAAGAAAGTGGTTTGTTGTCAATTTTGAAAAAGTTGAATGGAGGGGATACTTTAACAACATGTTTTGGAATTTGAATTACTGGGATAAGGCTAGTACTGTAGCAGGGGAGGTTGATGATCCTAGTAGAACGTTTCCAAAGGCGTTGCTCGGGGCTGTGGTTTTAGTGGTTTTGTCTTACATAATTCCACTTCTTGCTGGTACAGGAGCGTTGGATTCTGATTCTAGTGAGTGGAGTGATGGTTATTTTGCAGAAGTTGGAACGCTTATTGGGGGTTTATGGTTAAAATGGTGGATTCAGGCTGCTGCTGCAATGTCTAATATGGGGTTGTTTGAAGCTGAAATGAGTAGTGATGCCTACCAACTTCTTGGGATGAGCGAAATAGGAATGCTTCCATCTGTATTTTCTTCAAGGTTTGACACATTTTCGATTGATTCTTTGAACATTGCAAACTAATGATTTTTTCCTTGTATGACTTAGTGATTTTTTAATTGAGGTAGATCACGATCATCAAACAATGAAATCCCGTTGTCCCAATTGACGTAGCACCCTTTTCCTTTTAGTGTGTCGCAAATAGAATGTCATCATTTTATAACTAGAAACAACTTAACTTTTAAATTCTTCCATACAAATTGAGACGGAGGGATTATTTAAAGAAGAATAATCCAGTCTTAGGAGTATCTTAGGAAAGTTGCAAACAAAGTAATAAAAATGAAAGACTTGTTATTTAAGTTTTTCACATTTCATAGATTTATATCTGGATTTAAGTATCATGAATGTTACTAAGGGGAAATAAAAAATTTACAATTTAGCGTGGTGGATTTCTTAGTCTATTATCACAAGACAAGTTATAACTTCAAATCTTGCAGATCAAAATATGGGACACCAACTATCAGCATCTTATGCTCTGCAACCGGAACAATCTTCCTGTCATGGATGACGTTTCAAGAAATCTTGGAATTTCTTAACTTCCTCTATTCAGTAGGAATGCTTCTTGAGTTTGCAGCCTTCATAAACTTAAGGATAAAGAAGCCGAATCTTCATAGACCTTATAAGGTCCCATTGCAAACAGTTGGAGCAATGCTGCTTTGCCTGCCACCTTCTCTGTTGCTTCTCTTTGTCATGTATCTGGCTTCTTTAAAAACGTTTATAGTAAGTGGCTCCGTCATTATTGTGGGACTGTTCTTGTATCCTGCTGTGATGTATGCAAAGGAGAAACAATGGTGTCATTTTAATACAAGTGAACAATTGGGACTTTCTAATGATCTTGAGGACCGATCATCACCTACTGAACTTGATCAGATTGTTGCTGATGATGCATCTCTGAGCCTACTCGGACACTCTAAGACACTACGAGATTCCAAAACTTCTTCACAGGAAATTTCATCAGTGGATTAGAAGATACTTCCCTATTTTGTGTACATTTAAACTAGACGGGGGAGCTTTGGTGAAACATTGTGATCTAAAGGTAATGGGGCCTCTCAATCGTGGAGACAGTAGAGATGCAAGGTAAGATTGCGTAAAATAGATCTAACCCTTCACTTAGGGACCTTTATGCACCAGGCTGCCCTTTTTTTTTAAACCAGAATGGATTTATATTTACATAGTTCAGGCTAGGAAAGATATGCTTTTACAGAATGAGACAGAAACTATGGGTGTAAAAGCTCAATTAGATTTATGTGAAGTCTTTGAATACCTTATATCTGATGTGAAACACTACATAACTTATCAATACAAACCCCGTCAACAACTTGTGATAATGAAACCTCCCTTTGTTTGTTGGCAGATGCTCTTTTAGTCCATGATTTTAGACTATAGTAGTGTCATTTACTCTGCAATTGACCATTCATGTTTCTGTCAAAAACTCAACAATATTTTTATATGGGAAAGGAAAATACTTTTGCTACATTGGATCACCTCTCACTAGCAAAAATGATCTTTAATTAACGGTAATAACTTTATTTAGCGGTAGTTAGCACTCTTTGTAAATGTTCTTAAAGCCTATAACGATATTGAATTCAATGACAATTAACTAGTGTCGATAAAGACTTCAGCCTGCTTTGTTAATGTGTATTTTTATCATCGCTAAAAGTTATTTTTACTGTAGTGTCTGTCCTAAACAATACTCAAGTCCTCCAAGGTTCTTCATTTTGAACTATATATGTAGCTAAATATCTTTGCAACTTCTTTAATCTCTTCTTTGTCATATCATCAACATAGATAATTAAGGTTGTCACCATACTGATTCTAGAATACGGTGTGTTTTCAATATTGCTTTGTTTATAACCTCGTCTCTTCATGGTCAAGCTAAAGAAAATTTTAACATACCCTTTAAAGAAAAACTTTAATTAGAGCTCTTTCACTTGACACCCTCCTTTACAAAAAAATCAAACATATATATTTTACTAAATTAACTTCATTAATAATGTTTTGAACTTTATATACTCTCACCGTCCACAATTGTTTAGCAGGTTTACTAAAAATAGATTTTCAAGATTAATCCTCAATTTAAACAATCAAGAAATAATTAGTCATTTTTCCCAATTCTGGCCTTAATAATTACTCCATTTTGTTTAATTAAAAAATTATGTGGACTTTTAATATTTTTGGTACAGTAGGGTTATATTAATCAAATTACACCTTATATTAAATTTTCCTTGAGGGGAGTGCATGATCTTACCCTGACAAACAATTGTTGACGGAGGAATTATTATTTTTGGTCATTTAATACTAAAAAATAAAACATGAAAAAGAAGTCTTAATTTTGCGAAAATGGAGAATTAAATTAAAACATCGATTTTTAATAATAAAATAGAGGGAGTAACAATATAATTAATATATTGTATTCAACACTATTTTGTAAATTGTTACACACTATCAAATGACCCCTAATAGTTTTAGTTAGTTATTATCTTGATGTATACATGCGACTTGCGAGTTAGTTTTTACTTGTTAAGTGTGTTTGATATGAAGGAAATTATTTTTTCAGTTTTCTCATGTTTGGTTGACTTAAATGTTTTGAAAAATATTTTCCAAATTAACTTTTTTTCCTCAAATTTAAGGAAAATAACTCTCTTTTACAAAGTAACGAAAACATTTTTCAAAATCATTTTAAACCTCACTCCTCAACTTTACATCCTAACTTAAGTCTCAGATATTGATTCCCAATACTAATCCTAGATCTGACTCCAAATTCTTGATTCAACATCCAACTCTCAACCTCGATTCGAGATCCATCTCCAGAATTTTAAAGTGAGTGGAGGTCCAATCTCAAGTTAGAATTAGAGGTTGAGTTTCGAGTCAAGGTCGAGTCTTGGGTCGAGGTCAGGTCTCGGCGCAAGGAATGGGGTCGAGTCTTAGTTGGGTGTCAAGGTCAGGTGTTGGGGTCGGAATTAGGTGTTGGGGTCGGGGTAAAGTCTCATGGTCGGGATCAGGCTTAGGTCTGGAGTTGGAGTCAGGTCTTAGGTAGGGCACCCGAGTCAAGTGTCAGGGTCAGGGACGAGTCTTAGATCTTGGGTCGAGGTCTGAGTCGGGTCTCAGACCATGTGTCAAGGTCGAGGTTGGGGTCGGATCTCGAGTTAGGGTCGGGGTCAGGGTAAGGGCTTGTGTCCAGGTCAGGTCATCGGGTCAAGGCCGAATCTTCTAGAGGGTTAGGTCTTGGGATAGTGTCCTGATTCGGGTCATGGTCAGGGTTAGGTTTTAGTGCAAATGTCAGGTTTCGTGTTGGTAATTGGGATTAGGTTGTGAATTGAGTGTTGGGGTCAAGTGTCAAATCGATTATAGGGGTTGATTTTCATATCAAAAACTATTTTCCTAAAAGTATTTTCTACTCTCTATACAAAACAAAAGATACATTCTAAAAAGTATTTTTCATTCACTAATCATACACTAGAAAAATGTTACCTAATATTATTTTGCAATCACCAACCAAACATGAGAGAAATATGTTGAAAACCAACTTATTTTCAAGAAAACAAGTCAGAAATTATTTTCTAATCTAGCCAAAAATAAAAAATACTTTCTAAAAAGTATTTTTTTTATTCACTAATCATACACTAGAAAAATATTTTCCGGAAATTATTTTGCTCTCACCAGTCAAATATAAGAAAATAAATTACAAAATATTTTCTAAGAAAAATTTTATAGCAAAAAATATTTTCTAAGAAAACTTTAATAGTTGGTGAAAACATTTTCCTTCCTATCAAATACACCCTTTACCTTATACGATTCATGATTGTAACTTTGGAACCTAAAAATAGAAATGAACAGGGTATAGATTCTATGATTGTAGTTTCAAGTCTGAAACCTAAAAGGATAATTCTAGAGGGTTTTAGTAGACAACACCGATATGGAAAATTTGGATTTGAAATTTGAGAAATATTAGTATATTTCCAACTTTTAATTGAGAAACAAAACAAATATAATATCTTCTTTTTCCGTAACTAAGTACTAAGGCGGTATTTGATACGAAGAAAATATTTTCTTCCAAATCAACTTAATTTGCTTAAAAAGCAAGGAAAACATTTTCTAGATCAGCCCAATCCCCCATCCCCCATCAGATAAAAAAATCTAAAGAGTTAAAATTTATTTTTTAAAAAAAAAACTTCAAATAAAATTTTCAATTTATTTTTAAAATATATTCCAAATTTTAAAATTTTATTTTATTTTTTTTAAAAAAGAAGTATTTTATTTAATTTTTTTTTAAAAAAAGAAGTATTTATGAAAAATACTTCAAATATGCTCTCAATTTAGTTGAACCCTCTAACTAAGCTATGATGAAAAGGAAAAATGAAAAAGGAAAAAACCAACCAAGCCAAACTATTGGGGTAGATTTATTGAACATAGGTGAAGTAAATATTGAGTTGTTTAATATCATATTGAAGGGTAAAACTTATTCGCATCGGGTGTGTATACCAATCCAATGTATGCATGTCATGTGTTTAAATTTATAATTCATTTTACTTAACTTTAATTAATTAACATGTGTTTTACTATTAAATCACATAATAACTAAAATTGCATTAATTGGGCGTAAATACCTGATACGGATATGGTTCTATTGTATAAGAACATGAGTAATATTCAGAACTGCAACAACTATAGCGGTATTAAGATACTAATTCATACTACAATAGTTTATAATTATCTACGAGAACTAAATAAAATTCATATTGGGGTGATTAGATACAGATTATCCGAAAGAATTTCGTAAGAAAATAGAATTTCATATTGAGCTTCAAACATACGTTATTGTGATAGCTTATACTAGCTCCCCCCTTCCCGAACTACATGTGCGAGTGACGAAGTCCATTTCCTGCACACTTATTAAGTATTTCGTTGTAGCCAAGCTTACTGCTATCCTATATCACAGAGACCAAGCTTCGACCTGATTGCTCATCACTTCTGACCACCTTATTTCGTTATCATTCATCTTATAACGATATTTGTTGAGTAACGTCAACATCCTTCCTATGACAAGACCCAAGAGGGGCTAGGTGGCTCGGGTTAGAGCCATGATCGAAACGGTGCTTATTTGGTGGACTTAGTTAAGAAATAATGTTGTTCCTTTGCTATAAGTTATAAATTTTGGCATGATATATAGTAAAACATTTGATCCTAATAAGTGGTATCAGTGCCAAATCGTGAGTTTGATTCCCAAGAGCAACATTTTATTGGGTATGTAGCAAGAATTGATGGGAAATAGAGGGAAGGAAAGAAATTTGAAAAGTTGAGAACTTGAGGAATTGAGAACTTGAAAAGTCCTCTTGTGCTTGAAAGAAAATGCATTTGTCCCTCATCGGTGATGGAAAGAAAAATAGGAGAGTTTAAATACATAAATACTCCTATTAATTTTTAAAAGGGTCGGAAAGAGGGACCCCCTCGCGCCGGTCGTTGTCGCTCGCTTCGACTTTGACTTCGACTTTGGCTTTGGCAAATGATCAATCGAGAGATTATTTTTGGGCAAAGTTTGTCTTAATTATTTTATTATTTAATTAAATGGCCAAAAATATTTTCAATTAATCAGTTGATAACAGAACTTTTTAGTTGACCCGACCCGACTTGGATCCGCGCGTGACCCGTTTTATTTAAATTTTTCGCCATGACTGTTCTGAAAGGTTGCAACTTTCAGGAACAGTCAATACCATTTGAAAGATTGCAAACTTTCATTAATGGTCGTGTCAATTCTAAAAGGGTTGCAACCTTTCAAAACATATTGTTTCTTGCCTATAAATACCACTCATTCTTTAGAATATTTCTTAACGAATTTTCTGATCTTCCTCTTCTTCTACTAAACATATTTTTCTTCGTGTACTTTCTTGCTGTGGATTGATTCGCTGACAGTAGGGTTTTTGGTATCTACACTCTGCTAATTAAGATCATTTTACCGTGGGAGGTTATATTCCAAATTAAACCTCGGATACTAGAGGGGAATAATTTCTTTAAGGGGACACTGTGAGTTAAGTGGACTTGATCTTCTTCCAAATTAAAAGGTTATTTCAGAATCTGGTATGTTTTTACAAATTTAACTATTTTATGAAATAAATTTCTGTTCATCTCGCTTATTGGTTCTATAAATTTCAGTTACTTCGTGTTTCTGAATAATTTATTACAATCAGTAATTTCTGGTTTTGATAACATAGTTTGTAAAACAATCTCAAAGATTTTTTTTTTAAATCTGTGTTTCTGGTGGAGACAAAAATCTTCATGATTTTATACTCCTTTAAGTCTGCAATTATAGTTTATTGCTTACTTAGATTGTATCAATCTTTGTTTATCAGAAATGG